GTATTTTAGGTATAAAAAGCTTATTTCCGACAATAGACCTGACATAATGCTCATTTGTGTCTGTTCTCCGCGCTTTCATTACTCAGTCTCGTACATATAGTTCAATTACTGCTGTCTCAATTCGATCTAAAGAGATTTTACATACACTATGGACATCTTCTAAACAATTTATTTGTGGTTCTATAGATTTCAAGATACAATGGCGTTGGGTCTTAAAATCCAGTTAAGAAGAGAAATTAGCTGAAAAAATATTCTAAATTACTAGAAAAATTGAAGAAGGTACACTTTTAATGATTTGTAAATTTGATTTAGTCAAGTTTTAATCAGTTTAAGATTTAATTTCCTAACAAAATTTTTATATTTAATTTTATACAGCTCAGCGCTATTTCTATTAATAGATCTTTCAATACTTATTTCCACCACTGAAGCGTTATCTTGTATTGTCTTAAGTTAATTTTATTTATTGATTAAAAATTCAAATTCATTCCATAATTTTTTTTTTTATTAGAAAAATAAAAATTCTTTTCAAATAAAAACATCAACAAAAGTTTTGCGAAGAAAAAAGATGCACTTTTCGAAGATTTATGAAACTCATTCATTGGAGAAAAAAGCAGATAAAAAGTAGTAAAAAACCCAAAAGAAAGAAAAGTAATCAACACAAATTAATTGCCAGTGTTACACTTGATAAATTACGAAAAAGGTAAAAAATATCCTTCCAAAAAACTAAGTCAAACGCACTCGGGCTTATCACATTTGCCTCCTTCCAAGAACTTTCTCTCCCACTTCACCACCAACTGCCACATGGAATTGCCTGTAACAATAAATAAAATTAAATAAGCTTGTGAAAATACTCGTAATTTTCTGCATATCACTTCAGATAAACAATCGCACAGTTGCACATCTATATCCTTGTGCTCCCAAGGATATAGAAATGAGTGGCTTAAGAATTTAATACTTTTTTGTTTTATATTTTGACAGTTGATAAAATATTTAAAGGAATTTTATACTTAAGAGCAGGTACTTATAATAATTTATTACTGACATATGAAGAGTTTCTTGGTTAAATTTTTATTTATACTCAATAAAATGGCAGAAATTTAGGTGAATACTCGTTATATACGAACGAGTAAATTCGCTTCCAATGGGACTAAATATGACATAATTGTTATTTTGAAAGAGCGCGCATTAGATAATTTCAACAAAACGAGTTTTTTAAGGAAATGTTTTTAATAAAATATATGTATATATAAATATATATCAAAATATGACTATATTTAGTTATTAATGTCTATATGTATTTTACCTTTAAAAGTATCTTGCCAGGACTTTGGGTGTCAACTGAATATTATTTCGTCGGCACCATTTGTAGTTATGTGTTTGGCATTATTTTCCCTTTGGTAAGGAATGGGGCTTACCCATACCTCTGCTGATCTTCGGGTCACAGCACCCTGTGTAAAAACTCAACTTCACGCCAAATGAAAGTAAGTAAATACAATCACTTTACCTGCGAAAGTTTCGGTTTTAATCACAGCCAGCACAACACTGCCTACTGCAATTGATCAAGATAGCTGAAACTACCGGTACTGGTCCCCATGAACAAGATACACAGTTCCGTTTGGGTGATGCAAGTGAAAGCGCACTTACTACCATTTACACTCTTCAAAGTGATGGATGGTGTCGAGATTTTAATCGCCTCTTGTGATAGGCGGCTTGACCTCGGAAATATTCTAACCCCTTGCCTGCGCGGGAAATATCATTAATACCATCTTGGTTTGAAGCTTTTTGATGATTGATGAAATCTTAGTGCATAAAACTTCATGCACTGATTACATTAAGACAGATAGGAAGATAGATAGATAGACAGAAAGATAGAAACAATAGAGACTTTCTTATTGCATTCGTGTTATTATTATTTATTATTTCATTTGGTAGGAAATTTATCTGCGAA